GTCTCAAGCGCAAAAATCATTGGCCTACCTCGGACGGTAACTTCCTCGGGAAGATGGACATCAACGCACCGGGTACAGCCAATAAAATCGAGTGTATCGGCCATCCGAGCCACCATGCGCCAATCTGATTCTTATAGGATGACTCTATGGGGTGAAAATTGTCAGCGTCTATTCTATTAAGGAAGTAGGGCAGCATAATTATTGAATTTTATTAACGGGGTGGGTGGATGGTTGTTGTTGTTGTTGTTGTTGTTGTTGGGGGAGGGGGGGTGGAAGGCAGTAACGGCCCGGCAATAAGGCGCAATTTAAGAATAAATTTTACCGTAAGAAGCCCCAGCCGAGCATATAACCCAACACTCGTCCGAGAAACTTCGTAGCCAAGACGACGCCAATGTAAAGAGACGCGTTGGATGTCTTTGTATTATCGTCGAGGTAGGAGATGCCGAGAGCGTAGAAGGCGACATTGGCCATTCCCATAATGGTCTGCACGATGATAAGAATAAAGAGAGTCGAATAATACGGCGGTTCCTCCGCGGCGATTAGTCTCGAGGACATTTCCATACAAAGGTCCGAGCTTTCTCCTGCAAGGACAGTAGACAAGGACCTTTAGAATCTAAGATATTAACGCAAGTCTGTCTCGGTCGTTAGATGCAAGTATCCAATGACTGCAAGTTTAACAAATAAAAACACGCCAATTGGTAATAATTGGCTGTTTCTTTGTGTAAGCATAACGGCTAAGCAATAAGACAAGAGAGACGGCTATTGCTGTCTCGAGTAATTATTTATGTAAAACGACCATCCCCTTCTTTCGCCATTTCCAACCACTCGATTCATTGGTGATAATTATGAATTACCCGGATTATATTCACTTCTTTTTATGGCTATTATATTTCCGCGAATTATATGTAAATGTATTTGGGGACACGCGTGCACGTAGCCGTAAAAGTTTATTTTATTGAAAAATTTCTAAATAAAAGCTTAATTGCACACTGTAATAATACATACATTGGAAATAAGTCGTAGTAACGACATTATATAAACACATTACCTTAAATTACATAATAAAGCTATAATAATTTACCATTGTTATTTATTGTTAATATTTGCAATATAATATTTCATACAATTTTCAATGGTATACTCTTTTTTTTTTTTTTTTTTTTTTTTTTTTTTTTTATCAAAATTATCCCTTAAAAATTCCTCCTACAATATATAACTAATATTGTAAGACGACATTATGCAGCAGTTTTTTTCTTTTTTCTTTTTTGCTTTCCCTTCTAGTAGGTTCCTTCTTATGAACCTCGTCTTACACATCTTACGCATTGTTATCAATTTTCACATTTATATCTCTTACACATCCATACACGTATAGTTATGTTTATTTATTTATAGTCCGAGAACGTGGGACCTCATTATTGAGCAGAGCTAGTCATGCGTTCCAACTTAGCGACAATACCATCTTACCCGTATAAATAGATGCGTGCGTCATATTTTCCGGCGGTATGCTATCGTCGTTCACGCATTGAGGAACGATAAGCAGGAAAAAGGAGGCGCACTGAATAAGCGTGAGAGCACCGAGCCAAGATGCTCGATGAAATCTGTCGGCCCAGTAAGCGATGACCGTACCAAGAATGGCCGGCGCAAAGTCGGATATGCGCATGATCCATTCTAAAAGATTAATTAGAGCAATTAGAATGAGTTAGAATGTGCCGAGATGCATAAAGCGGCGCCAAGATGCATTATGAAGAAAGATAAAAAAGGGAAGAAATAAGAAAGAAAGAAAAACAACAAACGAAAGTTATGATTTTGTTGTAATGTTGGTGTCGTCTTGCGGTGGGAAACTTTGGACGAGGTTTAGAGGACCGATGTGCTTGTGCCCTCTGGCACAACGCTCTCGATACAACAAGTATTAAACAAAAAATAAATCGAAAGGGCAAAGGGCATTTTTGGCGAATATGCGGGAGGGGCGCGCCAAATGTCACATTAATGCAATCGTCAAAGCCGACTTTGGCTAGATTCGCGCGCGCGCGCGCGCACCCATTAGGTCGGCGCCGAAGCCGAACTTCCTGGCAATGGTGGAACTGGTGACGTGGAAGTAAGTCTGCGCGCCGGCTTGGAGGAGGCCGATGGAGCAGAGGAGTGCGAGGAAAATCCGTCGTGTCGCGAACTTTGCCAAACGCGGCAGCCTGTAGCTTCCGCAGCCGCAATCTATCGATTCGTCCGTCAAGGAATTCGCCGGTCCGGATAGTCCACCCTCCATCTCCGAGCGCACGATCTCCTGTGGTCCCAGCGTCATCTTCAACCTGGAATTATGCGGGAAGAGGCCTTGTCGGCACTTTATTATTATTATAAGCTTTGGTCGTCGGCGCGAACGTGAGCCTGCGAGTTTTGGCTTTCCCAGTTTTAAGATCGAATTTCGATTCATCGCTTAATTAATCGTTGCTCCTCGTGTCGAGGATTGCCCATGGAATTGCTAGCCAAGAATAAACGCGTACAAGCCTTATCGAATAACTCGGGCATCATATATATATATATATATATAAGACGTTTTACATTAAACAAAGTGCGAATGTACATTTTGATATTTGGAATTTTACTCGTCCGCGACTCTATTGCAGAATGTAATTTACATCTTGTATATTCATTTCTCCATTTAAGTGTGAAATGCCACTTTAAATATCGTATTTTCCTTTCAGTTTTATTTTCATTCAATAGATCTTGCATGTGCCATCTCATTTCAATGCTTCTCTGTAGCGAGAATTAATTTAAATATTTATACATCGTTGCTCGACGCTCGAATACTACTCGGTCAAAAGTTAAGCAATCGGATTGCGTGGAACATTTTTCGAAACAACGTATTTCGCGCAGAAGCATTTTCCATTATTTGATAGTATAGATATTAGCACGATATTAGAAACGAGAAACAGATAGAGATAAAAACAGCCGTAGAGCCGCCCACGGCTAAATACCAATCAATATCACACAAAAATCCGCTGTTTATAATAACGATAATATTAAATGGCGACAATATTAGAATAACAACAAATGACGATAAAAATGAGAAAAGAGGAATAATTTGCCGTAGCTAATAAAGAATTTTATTGGTAAACTTCATTTCAGAATTCCAAAGCGTAGAATTAAAAGTATCGTTAGCTCCCGTTTACCTCGTCCCACAAATCGACCTACGAATAAAAAACACGCACACGAACAATAAAGATTCTCTTCCCCTTCCATCGAACATTAAAACTCATCTGCCCAACATACGTAATAATGACGATTCAGAAGTCTGAATGTAATCCAACATGAGAAACTCACTGAATTTTCAGTGCACGAGTCCCGGTATCTTTAAAGCGAGAGCAGAAAAGACGTGCAGGCGCACGCTCGCTCGCACGCACACAGATATACAGATTGACAAAGAGAGAGAGAGAGAGAGAGAGAGAGAGAGAGAACCTTTATTTAGTCGCTTTATCTATCGTCGAAAGCGTGACTCACATTTCGTAACTCAGGTTACAATTACGCGCACACCTCGTCCTCCATGTTTATCCGCGATCGCAACGAGCCTCACCTTCTCGTGGCAATGCCGCCTTCGCCAAAAATACAACCGCCTGACCTAGACACGACTTCCTCTCGTCAAATCCGAATTAATCGACAAGCCAAATGACTCTCGCGATGATCCATTCCCATCCGAGTTTCGACACCGATCGCCCAGGCTCCCGGATTCGCGTCTCCGCGACGCACCACCTCGTCAGTGTGTAAACCGACGGCTAATCCCGATGCTGGCTCACCTTTCTACTTCCGGTGCCGTGACCTCGTCAAAATAAGCGGCCGGTCGTTGGTATCCAGAGCGTCGAGGGCATGAGCCTCATGCTGGGCTGGCGGTTGGCCTGACGGACGACGAGGGACTTTCGGTTGGTAGAGGCGACACCTACTACGACCGGGCGCCGTCTTATCTCGAGCCCGGGCCTGCCGTCTTCGCCCCTGCCGATGCTGCTGCTGCTACTACTGCTGTTGCCGTTAGAGCTTGCGACGTTGGTGGTGGTGGTGGTGGTGGTAGTGGTGGTGGTGGTGGTGGTGGTGTGGTGGTGGTGGTGGTGAAGAGACGAACGAGGCTCGATTTTCCTCATGAGCTGCGCGAGTCTTATCGCTGGCATGGTTTATCTCGCTCGCCCGTACAGGTGTATCCGTCGGATTCAGCTCGGATTACGAACTCCTCGGGCCTCGCCCCGAGGCAGTTGCTGTCGTCCGCCGCAGTGGGGATGACTCGTGGTTTGTGGCCTCAAATGGTTTTAACGAGACCAGCGTTCAACAACCATCGTTCGCAATATTATCCTTGGCGGTAAAGTGTCTTGAATTTGACAAAACGCTGAATGAAAAGCGACATTCCATAAGCGTATTTAGATTTTTTTCCCGACATTGCGCAAAATATGGGTACGCGCTATAACGAATTGCCGACAATTTTTTTTTTTATTATATAAGCGTGTCTAGGTCTTGGAGTTTTCTTTGCCTTAAACGAACAATATTGGCATTATTATTTATAGGATTCGCTTAGATTGCGGGTGATTCGCGGGTGCGGAGTGCGTGTTGCGTGCATGTAATGTCGATCGACGAAACTGTCACGATTTGCAATTGGCTAATTCGAGTAATCGGTAAGGGCGTTGGCAGTTGATTAGCGGGGAGATCCGAAGCCTAATAAACAATTAAATCTGGGAAGAAAAAAAGCATTTTGGCGGACAATGGGTGGTAGCCCTTTGGCTGGATCGGAGTTAAGTCGCCGGGATGGTAAGAAAATGCAAGATTGCCAATTAGCATATGAAAAGCCTGAGTTCGACCGTCGCCGCGACGCACCGGGTCAGACCCGTGGACTCCTCTCCTACCTCCTCATCGTCATCTTCGTCTCCTTGGCAGGGCGATCACGTTTTTGAATATTAAGGGCGGGATTACACCGAGGGCTTAACGCGCGAAATTTAGTCCTCACGGCGGACGAGCGTCTAACGCTCGCGGAGAAAAAATCGCCCTTAAGTCCCGACGAGCCATCCCATTTCTCTCTTTCTCTTTATCTTTCACTCTCTCTCTCTCTCTCTCTCTCTCTCACTCTCTCTCTCTCTCGCTCTTTGATTACTCCGTCCCTTCTTTTTCCGTGCTACTCCTCGTTTTTCTGGCTGTCGTCTATGTACCCCGTTAGGCTCGATCTTACGTTTTGTGTGTTTTACGCCCCGTCGAAGCCGTCGCCCGCCGATGTCTTCGCTTCTCATCGACTGCCGAAAGCCACCCCGAGATAAATCTGAAAAATATTCAAGTGTCATCGGGCTTTCTTGTATACATTTTTCATTCGTGGGATTGGCATTATGTGTTCTCTCTTTTAGCTCCAGTTGAAACAAAAGTGTTCTTACTAAAGAATAATGTATTTTCCCTCTCTCTTATATACTACTTTAATCTAATATTTCAACTTCCTTAGAACTTTGGATCTATATATCAAATTCTATATGTATAGGACTGTTGATTACTATCGACTGAATCTGAATAACATTTTCCTGTTACGCTTACTCTTATATTATTCATTAAATAATTATCTTTTTCTTTAAAAAAAAAAAAAAAAAAAAAAAAAAAAAAATAAATAAATAAATAAATAAATAAATAAAAAAAACATAATAATTCCACAATTTAAAGTTATAAATATTGCGCGCGGGCACACACACACATTCATTGAATTACTGAAAAATTAAATCTACCTTTAAGAAAATTTTCTTTATTTCGCAGCCCATTATTTTTGACTTTTAATAAACTACTTTTACAAAAGTTACAAGTTTGTTAATTAGCTTGAAACTTACTTTGAATTGATAAAAAAATCACATAAAATGCAACATTTTTACGATACCACAATTTTTTCTCTTTTGTAAACTCGCTTGTAATTTTATATTGCAGTGGCGAGTCGGCATAAACCAACCCTAATCAAACGAAATTGCAAAATAATTATTAAAGTGATTCGAGATGTCGAATAAATGTAATTTATGAGATTATTTTCATGTGCTTTTCAAATTAAAATAAATAAACAAATATGCCACTCGTGCTCGTAGTGTCATCCACATTCGCTTTTTGTTTTTTGTTTCTTTTTCTTTTTGTTTTTAACCTATTTAAAGTACTCGGGCTTGGACCGAATAATTACTAAGCACTAAAATATTTGCCAGCACGCTTTAATCAACGTAAAACCGTAAAATAACGTTTACAGGACGCGAACCTCCCCCCAGCCGAGCTGGAGAAATGTAATGAAAGTATCGCTGGCTAGGAAGTCCGCCGCAAGAAAACGAGGAAAATCGGCGAGAGCGCTTCTTGTTTTTATCACGATAATTAAAGTCCAGTGGCGTCTCCGACGTCGGCTTTTTGCGAGGCTCTTCCTCAAGTCAATATGTTGACGATACAAATATTTAGAGGGCGCGTCGGTCAAGCGTGTCCCGATGTTATTAGCAAATTAACCGACATCAAAGAAAGTGGGGTCTCACTTACTTCGCCTAATGGAAAGCTCCCGCCGGCTAGCGCACGATTTTCCCTGGTTAACGTTAGCTGCCACTGTGACCTCGCCGTTAAAACTCTCCACCCATCAATGTCGCGGACATTTACGGAGATATTGGAGAATCAGAGAGGATGGATAGGCTCACCACGTACTCGCGATCGCGCAAAATTTAATTAAGCTTTCGCCGTCGGTTTTCTCTGTTCCATGAACTGATTTGGTGAGCGCGGCTTGGCTGTTTATATTGAAATATTGACATCGCGTCGAAGCTTCTCCGATCCGAAGAGTTATTTTCTCGAGATATTTATTCCAATTCATCATTATTACAGTACATTACAGTACAGTTAAGATTGAATTGTAACTTTTCATAGGCAATTCTCGAGCCTCAATGCTAATAATCTCACTAATAACGTTCTCTTTATTTTTACGCGATTATTAAAATCAACGCTCACTATTCCTTGCGAATAATGTAATTGATAGATTGTCCAAGATCTTAAAACCAAAAATAATCGTGCCATCATTTTATTCAAGAGTTTTGTCAAATTAATTTCATTCATCGTTCGCACCTAGTACATATCCTCAAGTTGGTGAAACGACAGAAAATTGCAGCTAAATTAAACTCTCGTGCCGGTGCTAATAATTTCCAAGAGTTAATCATCGTGAATTTGACATTATTAATGGAAAAACTATCAGCGTAAAAAATTTAAGGCGAATCGAATTGATTGATAAATTGGCTAAAAGAAAAATCAAAGAACTTCAATAGCATCATCGATCTCACATTAAAACAGCCATAT